AATTGCTCTTTTGACTAATCAGATCAGCTATTTTGCAATAATTGGGCAAAATATCAGAATTGGTCAACCTGTGTAAACGCAGCTGTAATGAATACTCAGGGAGAAAAATGTGTAGATTCATGCGCAGAGCGCGGCAGGGGTTTATTTCACCTTCGCAGAAGGCAGGAATCGTGGTCACAGGCAGGCAATGGTCATACACAGGTAGGCAAACAGGCAGGAGAATCAAAACTAGGACTGAAGAATATAACTGGTTCTCACAAACGAGCTAGGAAAAGTCTTAGTAGAGTCAAAACGAACAATACTTCACAAGGCACAAACAGAATGAACTGAACTAAATAAGGAGCTGATGGGACCAGGTGAGTAACTAACACAGGTGAAATCAATGAACAAAAATTAAAGACAGGGCTACGTTCAAGAACACAAAGAAACAGGGCTACGTACAAGAACACGAGGTTGACTAAGAAAATAAATACAGAAACTTACAGCAGCCTAAGAGATTTTAGATAACCTGAAAAGGTATTGGTGACATTATTGGTGGCATTTCCCCCCCCAAGTCCTTTTAGAATCTGTATTTAGTTTAATTGTTATGAAAAAGTTTATCTTTCAAAGGGAGTGCGACTGTGTCTGATTCCAACTTTTAGTAATTGAAGACTCCTTTCTAAGCGATCTGAGTCTAAGGTACTTGAATGAGAGTCAAAGTCCTGCTATTTGGAGGGCAACCACTCTACACTCACGTGCGTTAGTTCCTGTACATTGAATAAGCTAATACAGACAGAACTCCCTGAGTGTACTCTATGATTAGGGTTCCTTCTATGTGTGTGGTTTGTAATCAGGCCAAGGGGACTACCAGATACTTTACTCCTTTTATCCACCATCCCAATACCTTATTTTACTACGTAGTTTCAGGGTACATTGAACAGTAAAATGTTCAGTAAGAGTAGGAATAGCATGTGAGAGCTACACTCCCTCCCTCCTCTACATTCATTTTATTGGAATTTTTTTTCTGCAGACTCCATTTTTTTAGTTGTTTTTTTTCTGTTGTGAGTGAGAGGTATGGTAAAAAAAAAAAAAACACCCCAGTATGACATCTATGCAAAACACAAACAGACATTTAAAGAGAAAAAAGTGTTTTCCTGTCTTCATTTTTAGCACAGTGTTACTCTGAAGCCATACATCTCTCCTTCTACATTACACTGATAACCCTACTAATAATAACTCTACTAATAATAACTCTACTAATAATAACTCTACTAATAATAACCCTACTAATCATAACCCTACTAATAATAATACTCTACTAAATAACCCTACCTACTATAATAATCTCCTACTATAATAACCTACTATATAACTCTACTAATAATAACTTTATTGATAATGTATTAATGCTTTATTAATAATACCTTTAATTACCAACAACGTATCATACATTGTGTTCATAGTGCTCCCCTTGTACTGTAGGTAACTTGTGTTGTCCACATTGTGCTTCCTGCCTGGTCTGTCCGTCTGTCTGTCGGTCTATGTCCACCATCTGTGGGTGAGGAATGCGTCGATCCAGACAAAAGGATTGGCAGAGTCCTCTCTCCGTCTGCACTCCCAGTGCCTCCAGATAGCTATAAAACACCTGGACAAGATCAGCAGGTGACGGCAGCAGGGGGGGGGGGAGAAAGATAGAGATCAGTCACAGGCCGTCCCCTATAGCTAGGCCGTCCTCCCGTCCTATCCAGAACCTCCTCACCCCTTCCTTACCCTACTTCAACCTTATTCCCTAATTTTCCCCCTTGGCGCCCTACCTCCCCTCTGGTCTCCACCCCCCACCCACCCTCCTTTTCCCTACCTCCCCTCCAACAATCCACCCTCCACCACACTGGCCCCCTACCTACTGTATCGCCTGCCTCCATCCCTTCAGCCCTCTCTCCAAGCCCTTCCTCCGGCTCTTTGAAATCCGCTAGTGTCTCTGGACACGGTGCTGTCACTGGGCACATGGTTTGATCTCTGGCTTTGAGGAGAGCCAAGAGGGACCATGGCCTGGGCTGGTCTGAACACAAAGAGATTGTCCACTCCTCTCTCTCTCCCTCTCCTCAGAAATGTATACAAAGGAGGGAGGGGATCAATGGAGGCTCTCTCCAACACTCCTCCACTTGATATTATTAACCCCTCCCTGTTTGAGCTGACGTCACATTTGTATCTATCTAGTGTGTTAGCTGAGAACTGTAGTATGACTGGTGAGGATAAGCAGATTTGGTGATTTGTTCCTCTCTCTCTGTCTGTCTGTCTGTCTGTGTGCGTGTCTCTGTCTTACACAATAGGCTATCCAGCTGGGTCCTTTCCTTATGAAGCATGACTATCCTGGAATACACTCACCAAGTTTCATCATTGATCCCATTTCACCTACGTGTCTTTGAGAGGTGTTCACATCACCACCAAAATATCTGTCTTCCTGTGACTCCCCTTAGCCACAGTAAAGGAGGATACATATCAATAGAACTATCTGGTTTTGGGTGACTACAATCTCACAGGGAAGATCTGTTAGTGGGGGTGTGAAGGTGACTCATATCCAAATACTGTGAGTACTTTCAGCTGACACAAACACAAATATTAGGTCTAGGATAGTTCAAAGTTGAGGTAGGGTATTACTATATTTATTATTCTTTGGGGTGTATCTTTTTCTTATATATCCATATATGTAAAATAATAATACTGATAACCACTACCAATAGACGACAAGAGAAGTTCTAAATCAAAGGTAAAATGTCTAACATCTCAACTCAGTTTTCTAGCTTCTCTTCCAAGCCGGTCAGAACCAGCTTTCATTTCATTGTCAAGACGTCGACAGGACAAAAACATTGTCGCTGTCACGTCTCTCTCTGTCTCTCCAATACCCATGAGGCCTTGCAGTCTGTCTGATGTCTCAGAACTGGCATGTGGCCCGTCCGCTGTCATCTCCGTCGTCTCAGGTCTCAGGAACACTAGGATCTTGGTCCAGGACTCGGGGGGCTCTATACGGGCCGTATAGGTTCGCTGGTATTCCGCCTGGCCACTGCGCTGTCACAGCTGCCGATGAAATCCGATCAAGCATGGCATATATGGCACAACAGGAATGAGAGGGGCGCGCCAAAAACATCTGAAATTCATCTGTCTTCATCTTTCCCCGTAATCCCTTATTTCTTCTATGTTTATTTTATTCTCCTTTTTTTCCCTCCAGTATGGTCCTTCTCTCTTTGCTCAGATGTAAGCAGCGTTGTGCTTAACATAGCTTGAGAGAACGAATGAAAGTAAACAACACCTCTAATTGGCCTGACTCGATCACAATAACAGGAGGGGGGGTAGATTAATAAATGTGCTTAATGACAACGTGATGCATCTCGAAATCTGTCAGGGAGCAAAACTAAAAGACACGGACAGACCGACCCTGCACGGCAACAACAGACAGGTTTATTCATTTTTCTATTTGTTAAAAAAAGAAAGAAAGAAAGAAAGAAAGGAAATAAAGAAAAAAAGAGGGGTCCCAGGTGAACACATGAAAACACATGCTTCTCTTCTTCTTCTTCCTCTTCTCCTTCTTCTTCTCCACCGGGGAATCACGGCCCATTTGGTTTCCATTAGCATAACTCTGGTCCCTCTGCCCCGTGTCAGAGCCCAGTCGCACAGCTGCACATAGGACAGGGACCTCTGCCATTGCGACTGCGAGCTGTGGGGCTCAAAGCAAACCAGAACTGACATGGAGGACTGATGTTGTGCTGTGGGGATTTCAAACGCAAAAGCAGGGGCCTGTGTTCGAAATTGACTACATTTTCTCTTGTAACCGCGAGTTTTATACCGAAAGCCAGCGAACAAATGATTAATTGTTGTTTACTCAGCAGCATTTTGGAAGGCAAGAAAGCTCTGTTTTAAGTCAAACCCAACGTATAAAGTCAAACAAGCAAAAATTTGCCTCCGAATGTGTGGCGTGCTGCGTCTGCTACAAAGACCTCCTTTATCCCACGCAGTTTTATTTGTCACCTGGTCTCAATATGGACGCTGTGAAGTCCTGAGACTATCTCTCCGAGAGAGAGCCAGGGCCTGCTTTATGACACGCACAGTGCCTGCTTTTCCTACACACGTTGGACACACATTTCTGGCAAGAAGCGGACAGCATTTCAGCAGCTAACTCATGGATGAGATAGTATCTTGTGGGTAGAAGAGAGGACAAGATGCTCCCAGTGTTTTACAGTGACCTGTGCAGACACATTTAAGTCGGAGCTGCTACGGACATACACACAGACACACAGACACACACACACACACACACACACACACACACACACACACAGACAGGGATCTCATTTAACTCTCGGCTTTGCTTTACTCTCTACCAAAGAAATGTGGTCTGTGGTTCCATGTTCAACATGGGTAAAGGTTTCAATTAAATCTGAGACTGGGAACAATAACCATCCAGCCTCTCCCAGCTGGTCTGGTTGGCTTCCCTCTGCATACATGGAGGATACAGTGTGGAGGAGTGGAGTTAGGGGGTGGACTTTTGGGACGGGACAAGAGTGGTTTTGTATTGTAATAGAGGACGCAAAGGGGCTGTTAGGGAGTGGCCATTTTAGGGTGGGAGTGGAGTTGGAGTTGACATTAAAAAGGATAATGAAGATTTCAGAGTTGACATTGAAATAGGTTGAGGGTTAACGGAGGTGACATTTAAAGGTGTCATATGGTAACGGAGTTGACAATGAAATGTCATGTAGACGTCTCTACGTTACAAGGACAGTTCTGAGCCCATAGGAGTTAACAGAATGGACGTTGGAACACTCCTCCCCTACAGGATGTCCCCCCCCCCCCACAGCACACACACTTTCACCCCCATCCCTGTGTCCTCTCCTTCACCGTCCCCCTTTAGCAGTGAGCCAGAGAGGAAACCTTGGCGAGACACTATAGTGACTAATGATCCAGTATCTGTCTGGTCAGGCTGTTGATAACACAACCTCCCGCTCCTCCGCGGGGCTGCGGTGACAAATATGTCCGACTGTGCAGGACCAGACCCAGCCCAGATCAGCTTCATTCCAGACCCTGGCCAAAGAGACCCCAGAGAGAGAGGGGGGAGGCCCCACTGTCTCCCTCACTCCCATCCTCTAGTCCTGTTAAAGGCCAACTTTGTTTTACATTCACATCCGCTACTCCCCTCTTGTGTTGCAGACAGTCTCTGTTGTAGGTAAGAACACACACTCCAAATAATCAGGAGTGTGTTAGCCAAGAGCAGTAGTAGGCTGGTGAGGAAAATCAGATGATTTGGTGATTTGTCATTGAATGATCTTTCTTTCTTTCTTTCTTTCTTTCTTTCTTTCTTTCTTTCTTTCTTTCTTTCTTTCTTTCTTTCTTTCTTTCTTTCTTTCTTTCTTTCTTTCTTTCTTTCTTTCTTTCTTTCTTTCTTTCTTTCTTTCTCTCTCTCGCTCTCTCGCTCTCTCGCTCGCTCTCTCTCTCGCTCTCTCGCTCTCTCTCTCTCTCGCTCTCTCTCTCTCTCTCCCCCCTCTCTCTCTCCCAATGTCTGTTCAGCAGAAGAGGTGGCCTTTTCCTCTAACTACCCTGTAATATTTCAGCCTGTCTGGTTAATGGGGAGATATGAGAGGTGCTGCTAGGCTATCTAGCGTAATAAGTCATTGATTAGAAGGCCTTGTCACAGCAGCAGCACAGCAGACACCAGGGCTCTAATTGCTATATTAGACGACCTCCTTAACTATCTCGTCAACCATCACACAGCCCCAGCGTGTAAACAGGGGGGTGCATGTGTGTGATATTTCACTTCATCTCTGGCTGCCGCTGTTTTATACAATGGCTTTAGCGAGTGTTGTTTAGCCTTTAATGCTGGTTTGAGGAAAACCTGATATTGTTCAACTTTGACCTCTGAATTGTGGTTTGTAAGATGATAGGAAATGGAGATCATATTGTTTTGAGGAAGTACTAGTGTGTGTGTAATTGTGTAATAAATAGAGAATTGGCCGATGCCAAGTCCAACATGTTAGCAAGCCGGACAAATCCAAATAAACACTTTGATTCAGCTCTCATGTCGAGCCCCAAGGTAGACAAACAACCGTAGCAGAAAGCAAAGACTGCTTTCTCTGCAGATTAGCTACATGGTTGAAACGAGAGTAGGTGCTTGATTTTACGCCACACCTGTGATAGACAACCAGTTTGACACACTAAAGGTGTAATCCCCGCCCCCCACCATGCCAAAAACGAAATGATGTCCCTGTCTGCCCAGATGCCAACCTACTGGGTGGATGTGGTGTGATTTGGTGTAATTTGATGGTTAATCTGGGATTAGCTCGTGTTCACTTTGATACCTCCATCCTGCTAATCTGGTTTAAAAGACCTAGGGGATTTAATCCTATTACGGTCACGGTCATGTTATGGTTACGGTCATGTTACACTGGAGTGGCACTTTATACTTGACGTACCGCAGTAGAATGACATGGCTAATACCGTGTGGCATGAGGGATTACATGTAGTCATGGTTACAGTATGTCATTCTGTTTGATATTCGGTCCTACAAAACGTTGACTGCTTGTATTACAGTACTGAACAGGTACAATACACTAGCAAAGGTTAGAATGTTACTTGAATGTATAAGTGTGTCCTTTGCCATATGCAGTGACGGTATGAACACTGGTTCCTATGATTGTGTTATTGCTGACCCTCAGTGACGTGTAACTGCTGATGGGGTGCTTTCTGCATGGGTTGTTGTGAAATATGGGTCATCTGCATCATGGACTACGACCCTGTGTGTGTGTGTGTGTGTGTGTGTGTGTGTGTGTGTGTGTGTGTGTGTGTGTGTGTGTGTGTGTGTGTGTGTGTGTCGCCTCACTGTCACACTGCCGGTCACAGACGATAAATCAGTTGCAGTGAGATAAGATATTTAGAGTGTGAGGTAAATTGATAAAGTTGTTAAAGTGCTGCTGGGTTATGACTGTAGTGTAAGAGATAGTATGAGGTTGATGTAATGTTAGAAGAGCTCTTTACCTTTGGTTTTGCGACTCTCTTGGTGCAGAGAAGAGCTGCAGACTTACTCTGAAGTGGGGATAAGACGCACATACTTTATCGACACGCATGTACACGTACTCACGCATGTATGCATGCACACACACTCTTGTGCATACTCACACGATGGCAAAGAACCTTGGATATGATTGTGATTTTCCTGTCAATATAAATAGACCGCAATCACATCCATCATCTACTACAATACACATCATTTCCTTTTACAAGCGTGGTTGAATTTTTTACTCTGTAATTTCAGTGATTACAGAAGATTTTGCAGCCCTAAGCAGTCTAACACAGAAACACAGACTTCAAACATTTGGGATTGACTCCACATCCTTTTCACCAAACGTGAAACATACAATCCACATGCTGTTGAATCAGTGCAAAGTTATTTATTTACAAATGTTATCAACACCTCAGGCCCCATTCGGTCTGTGATTCAGGATTGTGAGTCGATGGCTACAAAAATATTGGAAGGAAAAATGTTAGCGCTGACTGGCTGTTTTAGAATAAAACTCTTCCTGGAAAAGGGATGATTTCCATAGCAGGGTCTCGCTACACTAATCCACTACAACCACAAATATTTCCCCCCCTTTAAGCAATTTGTCTTTGAAGACCGAGAGGGTTTTCGATGTAATTATTTTCATTTATCACTTTAAACTTTTAACATAACAATGGACTGATAAGGCAAGGGGTGCCAACGTTGATTAATATCCATTTTTGGCTTTTGGGAATTTTTCCTCCCTTCTTTTTCCCCCTCTTTTCCCTCTCTCCCTCGTTCCTAGTCCAGAGTCCTCTATCCCTTCCAGAATTCGTGTCAATGAGAAATGTGTGGCTTGGAGCTGTATACATTTGGAAGCCTCTAACACAGTCATTTTTCAAAATCCTTGTTCATGGTGGATATTGTTCGTAGTTAACGCGGTTACACAGACCCCACAGAAGAATGGTGTGAGGCGGACCATATGCCAACTATATTTAGCTGTCAAATCTTACATTTCCATCAGTGAAATCCACACTATAAACCTCCACCATAGAGGTGTGAATTAGCCTAGCATTTAAAACAACTTCCTGTAAAACAGACCTATTTTTCCTGTAAAATGGACGTCTTGACCTGTAGACTTTTAAGCACTTATGATTGACAGTGATGCCTTATCAGACCAGTGCTTCAGATTCTGGTGGACTGAATTGGACTCTCCTGAGCTGTCTAGACACTTAACCTCTAACCGCTAAAAGCTTTTAGGGGTCAGCTCCAGTTCAGCCTCTAGTATTGAGTAATGGTGACTTAGTCAAAACAAGTGAGATATTCAATGAGGAGAAAATAAAAGAGTTTGTCAGTTCAGGTGGGGTCAGGTTATAAATTAATTAAATAATTAATATTAGATTATAACACAAAGGGCATTGAGGGAAATCTGGTGATAGGGAATTCGAGGGCTTTAACAGGTACTGACGGGGGAAATTAATATTACAATTGTAATATTAAAATGTCATTTCATATAAACAAATTGTACTATGCTGAAAAAATTCTAAGCTATTGCAGTACATAAATCTCTTTGAGAAATTAGCTCTCTATGTGTGACTGTGCGTTGATGTATTACTGGTGTATGTCTATTACGGTGTCTATCTGTAAAACCCTTCAGTTCTGTCTGTGTGATTGCTTGATTGATGAGTGCTCTGTAGCCTGAGCTCTGTCCTCTCCCTGCTCCCTCCATCTCTCTGTCTGTATGAGCAGTTGATTGACGTGGCCTTTCTCTCTCTTTCTCCCTCTCCCCCTGTGTCTCTACAGGCCATTCGCTGCACTCTGGTGAACTGCACCTGTGAGTGTTTCCAGCCAGGAAAGATCCACCTGCGTACATGTGACCAGTGCAAGCACGGCTGGGTGGCTCACGGTAAGAGACGGCCATTTTGAATTCTGCCGACCTACTAACCAGGGTGATGGGAGTCACTGTGGCCAAGATTATCTGTACTGTAGTTGTAATATTTAATTTAATTTGTATTTTTACAAGAAGATAGTGTGTGGTATGGTAGGAAATCATTTCAACAATTAGTATATAACTGCAATATTGCAATAGTTCGTCACATTAGTCTCTCTCTCTCTCTTTCTCTCTCTCCCTCTCTTGCTCTCACTCTCGCTCTCTCCCCCCTCTCTCTCTCTCTCTCTCTCTCTCTCTCTCTCTCTCTCTCTCTCTCTCTCGCAGCCTCTTTAGTCCTGTGAAGTTATATGCTCTCATAAACCTGCCTCTTTAGCCAGAGGAGAGAGCAGAGAGGTCCTGACACACACATCTGTACTCTCCTTTAACAGGGTCACTAAAGATATCAGCATAATATGCAGTGCCTATATCTTTTATATAGGGATTTTTTTTTATCCCCTCATAGATTCTACAGGTAACAGATGAATATAAACGCTTAAAAGGGAAGATTTAATATGATTTTACCACAAAAGATTTGATAAATATGTTTACTTTTTTATTTTTTTCATAGAGAGATAGCGTTCAACTTTAGTGGTTGTCCTGTATATGAAGTTTATTTAAACAGTTTAAGTATTTTATTGAAATACTTTGTATGTATTTCATTTAAATACTTTATAAGTATTTTGGTTCAAAGTCATACCTGTACCTACTACCTTAGAACAATATCCACGAGAGAGACAACCTCGTGACTTGTTCAGGGGGCATACGAAAAAGGACATGGAGTGAAACAAAGAAGGAAGACGGATAGCATAGAAAGGAGGGAATGGAGGGGGAAGAGATAAAAGAAAACACCTGTTTGGCCCAAGCGTAGAGAGGGCCTTCAGCGATCTGCACAGGGCCCCATTGAATATTTTTAATCTCCTTCTATGAACTGTCAGAGGGCCCTTCTCTCCTTCGCTCTCCCCACTTTTCATTTCATCTCGACATTGGCAGCCACTCTGACAAGCAGTTCTTCATTTTTTATGATGTTCGTGTCTCGCAGAGTGTGTTGTCAGGCAAAGCCCTCGTCAGTGGAAAGGCTGTCCCAGGATCAGAGGAGACAAACCCAGGTGTCACACAGACAGGCAGAGAGAGAGGGGGGAGATGGGGGGTGAGGGAAGCAGGTGAGGGAGGGTGAGGAAGGGAGAGAGGTGGTGATGGGAGTGAGAGGGAGAGGGGAAAAAACAGGGTGGAGAGGATGAGATAGGGTAGAGGGAAGAGACGGTGTTTGAGGGGAACGGATAGGTTGTAAGGACAGGTAGAGGGAAGAGACAGGATTAGGGTTATAGACAGGTAAGAGGGAAAGAGACAGTTTAAGAGTAAGAGACAGGGTAGAGGGAAGAGACAGGTATGAAGAGGACCAGGGTAGAGGGAGAGATAGGGTAGAGGGGAAGAGACAGGGTAGAGGGGAAGAGACGGGTTATGAGGAGGATTAACAGGGTAATGGGAATAACATGGTAGAGGGAATAGACAGGATAGATGGGAAGAGACAGGTATAGTGAAGAGACATGTAAGTGAGGAAAGACAGTGTGGTTAGAGGGATGAAGATTATGGGGAATGGAAAGACAGGTATAGTTGGAAGAGACAGGTAAGTGATAGATAGGGAAGAAGAGACAGGGTAGAGGGGAAGAGACAGGGTAGAGGGATAGAGGGTAGAGGGAGAGTAACAGGTATATAGAGATAAGGTAGGGATAATGAGACATGTGAGGTAATAGACGGTTTTAAAGGGGAAGAGACCGGTAGAGGATGAAATAGGTAAGGGGAAGAGACGTAGAGGGGAAGGGGACAGGGTAGAGAGAAAGACCGGGTAGATGTGGAAGAACATGGTAAGAGGGAAGAGACAGGGTAGAGGGGAAAAACAGGGAGAGGAAACCCCTTTGAAAAAGGGGACCCCCCAAAAAAATGTTTTGGGTTTTTTTTAAAAATTTGGGGGGGGGCCCCCCGGGGGGGGCCCCCTTGGGGGGGGGGGGGGGTGGAGCCCCTGTGGGGGTGGGGGGGGGGGGGGGGGGGCCCCCCCCAAAAGGGGGGGGGGGGGGGGGGGGGGGGGGGGAAAAAAATTTTTTTTTTTTTTATAAACTTTTTTTTTAATTTTTTTTTTCCTTTTTTTTGGGGTTTTTTTTTTTAAAAAGAAAAAGTGGGCCCCAAAGGGAAAAAATTTTTTTTTGATTTTAAATTTTAAGGAATTTAAATTAAAGACTTTTTAAAAACATTTTAAAAAAATTTTAAGGAAGGGGAAGAATTAATTAAAAAATAAATTTAATTAAAAAAAATAAATATTTTTTTAAAAAAAAAAAGAGAAAATTTTAAAAAAAGGGTTTTTTAAAAAAAGGGGGAAAAAATTTTTAAAAATTTTAAAAAGGTTTTAAGGGGGAAAAAATTTAGGGAAAGTTTTTAAAAAAAAGGGGGTTTTTAAAGGGGGAAAAATTTTAAAAAATTGGGAATTTTAAAAGGGAAAGGGAAAAATTTTAAAAAACAATTTTTTTAAGGGGGTTTTTAAGGGAAATTAATTTAAAGATTTTAAAAAAAAACAGGGATAGGAAAAACATTTTTTTTAAAAAATTTTTTTTTTTAAAAAAATTTAAGGGGGAAAAAAGACAGGGGAAAAAACAGGTAAGGGAAAAAATTTTTTTAAAAAACAGGGAGAAAATAATTTAAAAACATTTTTTAAAAATTAATTTTTTTAAAATTTTTTTTAAAAACTTAAATTTTTGGGGTTAATTTAAACCATTTTTAAAAAGACAAAATTTTAAAGGGGGAAAAGGGGGAAAATTTGGGGGAAAAATAAAAAATTTAAAAAAGAATTTGGGGTTTAAAATTTTTTAAAAATTTTTTAAAATTTTTTTTGAAAATTTTTTGAGGAAAATTTTTTTTGGGGGGAAAGAGGGGGAGTTTTAAAAAAAAAAGAATGAAGGGGGGGGGGAAAAAATTTTTTTTTGAAAAAATTTTAAAACCTAGAAAAACAGGGGAAAAAGAAAGGGGGTTTAAAAAAATTTTAAAATTTAAAAGGGGGTTGAAAAAGGGGGGATTTTTAAAATTTTTAAAATAAAATTTTTGAAAAATTTTAAGGGGTAATTTTTTTTTAAAAAATTTTAAAAAAATTTTTTTAAAAAAAAACATTTTAAAGGGAAAAATTTTTAATAAAAACATTTTAAAAAAATTTAGTGGAAAACAGGTAGAGAATGAATAGGGTTAGAGGTAAAGAGAACAGGTAGAGGGAAACAAAGAACCGGGTAATTTAAGGAATGAGACAGGGTAAGGGGAAAAGACAGGGTTTAAAATTTAACAGGGTAAGGGAAGTACAGGATAGAGGAATAGAACAGGTAGAGGGAAAGACAGGTTAAGGGGAAAACAGTATATTTAAGGGAAGAGACAAAGGTAGAGAGGATTAGATAGTGTAGAGGCAAACATTTAGAGGGAAAAGACAAGGGAAGGGGTGAATATGGTAAGGGGAATAGACATGGTATAAAAACAGGGAGAGGAAGAGACAGGTAAGGGGAAGAAGGAGGGCAGGTAGAGGGATGAGATAAGGGTTTGAGGGAAAGACATTTTAGGGGAAAGACCCGGGTTTGAGGAAGAGACGGGTAGAGGGAAAACGGGTAGAGGGAAAGACAGGGTAGAGGGATGAGACCCGGTAGATAAGAGACAGGGTAAGGAAGACAGGTAGAGGGAAGATACCGGGTAGAGGGGAAGAACAGGTAAGGGTATGATAGGGTAAGGGAAGAGACGGTTTAAAGGGGAAACAGGAAGGGATGAGATTTGGGTTTGAGGGAAGAACAGGTAAGGGGAAAGACAGGTTATAGAGATGAAGAATAGAAAGAGACAGGGTAAAGGATTAACAGGGTAAGGGAAGAACAGGGTAGAGGGAAGAACAGGTAGAGGGAAGAAAATATAGAGGAAGAACGGGGTGTGTAGAGGAAAGACAGGGTTAATAGAAAGACAGGTAGAATTAAGAACAGGGTTAGAGGGAAAGTACAGGGGGGAAAGGGAAAAACGGTAAGAGGATTTAAGGTAGAGGGAAGAACATTAGGAAGAGACAGTGTTGGAAGAGAAGTAGAGGGAAACCGGTAGTATAGACTGGAGGAGACAGTAGAGAGGAAGAGACATGACCTTAACAGGGTGAGGGAAGAGACAGGGTAGAGAGGATGAGACAGGGTAGAGGGGAAGAGACAGGGTAGAGGGGAAGAGACAGGGTAGAGAGACAGGGAAATAATGTTCTGATGAGATTATAATAATGTATTTGTATAATAATAATGTATAATAATAATGTATTTGTCACATGCTTCGTAAACAACAGGTGTAGACTTACAATGAAATGCTTACTTACAGTGAAATGCTTACTTATTTACAATGAAATGCTTACTTACAGTGAAATGCTTACTTATTTACAATGAAATGCTTACTTACAGTGAAATGCTTACTTATTTACAGTGAAATGCTTACTTACTTACAGGGAAATGCTTACTTACAGTGAAATGCTTACTTACTTACAGGTGAAATGCTTACTTACTTACAGTGAAATTCTTACTTACTTACAGGGAAATGCTTACTTACAGTGAAATGTGCACAGTACTTACAGTGAAATGGTTACTTACTCACAGTGAAATGCTTACTTACAGTGAAATGCTTACTTACAGTGAAATGCTTACTTACAGTGAAATGATTACTTACTTACTTACAGTGAAATGCTTACTTACTTACTTACAGTGAAATGCTTACTTACTTAATAAAGTGAGGTAGAAATGGAAAGATGAGACAGACAGAGGGAGATGGGACACTGTTGAGGGAGGGAGGGAGGGAGAGATGAGACACATACTGTAGGTACAAACAGAGATTGAAAGGGAGATGAAAAGAGGAGAGGCAGATAGGTGAGAGACTGAGAGAGATTAGACTATATAGAGAAAAGGCAGTCAGTTACATTAATGCCAGTGCTTTTATCTCCTAGTTGTTATCTCCCTGCACTGTTACCTCCCAGAGAAGGCTGGAGACAGGGGGAAACGTGATAGTCATTAACTGGAGAGGCTGGCAGGGGTGCGTCTGTGTTTAGGCACCTGCATATGAATATACCTGCACAGTGGTATGCAAGAGGGTTTCAGGACGGGATTCAAAGTTCCCTGTATGTATGTTTAAGCCTACTCATGTTGGTGTGTGTGTCCTTGTCCCCCCCGTCCCAGCGCTGGACAAGCTGAGCACACAGCACCTGTACCACCCCACCCAGGTGGAGATAGTTCAGTCCAACGTGGTGTTTGACATCAGCAGCCTGATGCTGTACGGGACCCAGGCGGTGCCGGTCAGACTGAAGATCCTGCTGGACCGTCTGTTCAGTGTTCTGAAGCAGGAGGAGGTGCTCCACATACTGCACGGCCTGGGCTGGACCCTGAGGGACTACGTCAGGGGCTACATACTGCAGGTACGTGGGACACACACACACACACACGGTTCAGATACAGACGTGTGTTACTATAGCCGTAACAGACAGACGCATACGTAATAGACATTCACAGTGTGCATTCAAATATATACACACTTACAAACTGATAACTGAAAATTAATACACATGGATCATGTAACACATTTTAGATGTGAATATGCACTGTAATCATTTATACACACACTCACACACTCCCAGATGTGTGTGTGTGTGTGATTATCTTGGATGTTTAACAAGTCCACTTATTCCAACTCATTACAGCCTCTGTATATGTCACCAAGTGGGCCCGCAAATCACTCTCACCATCGCAGTACTTTTCCAAAGGCTTTTGATCAAAGAAACAGTAGTAATAATTGAACGTGTTTTAAAAGCTAGCGCTCAATTTTTCTCTCATTTTTGTCTTCGTTTCCAACAACTCCCGTCAACAGTGTCCCTCTACATAAAAAACAACCAACGGAACGAAAAAAAAAGTAGAAAGAATGTCACGCCAGCAGACTATAAAACCACCATTGGATTTACCCCTCCCTTCCTCCCTGCCTCCCTCCCTCCCTGCCTCCCTCCCAGATAATTGCAGTCAGACACATTTCTTAATCAAAGGTACCAGAGGCTTCGGTCTCTCAAAACCCAAATCAAAGTGTTCCTGAATGAATTAGTTAAGAACGAGGGGAACATGTGCTTGTGGTTAGAGTGTTCGGTGGTGTGTGTGTTGTCCAAAGCCAATAGCAACGTTGTGGCGGTGAGGTACCGTGGCTGGGGCTTGTGTTCCACAATGGAGTGTGGGTAAGTGGAACAGCATGGCTGGAGAGAAAGGAGAGAGGAGAGGGCGGTTTTGAGGCCTTGTATGTGGAAACAGCTTCTGTGAGTAAACTGCTCGCAGACTTGTCCAACACACAGACACACACACACAGAAAAATACACACACAATGGAGATACACACACACACACACACACACACACACAGACAAACAAACAAATCCATGCATTCTTACAGGTTTTAGGTTGAGTTGTGTTTAATAGACTCAATATACTCAATATACCCAGGATAATTTTTTTTTGCATTGTTTTACAAATCAAATTATTTTTTATCTTTCTAGTTTTATCTTTTTTTAAATCTTTTTTTGTGTAATTATTTTGCACTCTGACAAAAAATAACATATTCGTCTTCCAACCCTCCTCCAACCCGTATAGTCTTAGACTGTGAGAAAGACGTTGCCTTTGGCTATCCAAACGTTCCAACTCAGTGTGGTTGAATCAGCTGCTTCTAATAGACTGTCTCTCTAACCATCGTTGTTCAAACCACCCAGCCCTAGTCGCTAGTCACTAACCCCCCAGATCTCTTCAAAAAGGCCTTCAAAGGTTTCGCTCCGCAGCCCAAATTGTCAGTCACTTAAGGACAGTGAGCAGTCGTTGTAGCCTATTAGCCTGTAAGTAGCTATGAAATTCAATCATCTCCCAGCCTCAGGGCAGCCACGTTATGTCTGTGGAGCGTTTATTCTTGCTACAGCGCTCCATGGTAGATCCAATGGAGTAGAGTTATGATGGAAATTGATGGGATGTAAAAACATGTCAACTTCCTGTATTTAGCTAATGATGTAATATAATTAAATACAATATGAATATAAAAGGGATTATCAGTGTGTAATCCGATTTGAATTGAGAAGGAAATCTGATGTTACATTTGATTCAGGGTTTTGATCATTTTAGTCAGTTGATTGATAGACATGTCAGTACTCAGAACCTTTTTCTACCTTCATTCTCCTGTGAAGTAAATGAACAGACATGATCCTTGACATCTGATCAAAAATATAAATCCCTTCCATGTAATCTCTCTCTCTCTCTGGCTTTTGACTTAATCACCCTCCTTTCACTCCTACGAGACTGAAGTCAAGACCCAGATCATGATCTGTAGTACATCAGTGTGTATGTGTGTGCGTGCGTTTGTGTGTGTGTGTGTCTGTGTGTGTGCGCGCGTCAACACAGACACACATGTGTGTTGTTCTGACCAGTGTGTGTTGTTCTGACCAGTGTGTGTATGTGTCAGTGATGCACCATAGAGCCCAGGACACTGAGCTGACAGAGTACACCTCAGGCCTTCTGATGCCTCACACACACCACACCATGTATTATTACGCACACACACACACACACACACAGTCTCACACTCTCACACACACACACACACACACACAGTCTCACACTCTCACACACACACACACACACACACACACAGTCACACACAGTCACACACACACACACACAGTCACACACAGTCACACACACGCTCACACACACACACACACACACACCACACACACACACACACACACACACACACACACACACACACACACACACATGCATACATAGACAGGTACACAGACACCATTTCTCTCTGCTCGTCTGCCCGTGTCAATGTTACAGTATGTTGTTTCAGCTCTGTTCTCTCTCTCTCTCTCTTCTATTGGTGACAGACAGTGTGTGTGTGTGTGTGTGTGTGTGTGTGTGTGTGTGTGTGTGTTGTTCCAGTGCCGGTGGCACCGGTGTAATATCTGACTGCGGAGGATACAACATGTTGAAAGTCCCAGCCAGCCTTCTGAATATATGAATAATGTTCTCTCCATCCCTCCACTCTCTAGCCTTCACCTGTCTCCACGGTAACACCACTGTCACCCGTAATCACTGTCCGCCCCGCTCCCCGGCCGATTGGGCCCCGCCGCCCGTCACTCACACACACACACAGGCACACAGACACACACAGGAACACATCCGTAGGCACACACGCAGACAACACACACACACACAGCACCCGCACTGCTGTGATCTCAGGACCGTGAAGAGAGTGAGGGCTTTTTCTCCACTTTCTCTGTTATTTTCTCTCGTTCTATCTTCCCTTTCTCTCTGTTCATCTGTTTGGGTTGGAATGCTGCAACATAAAGGTGAAGGCTCTGTTGCCCTTAACACTGTGCTATCAGAAACCAGGTGTAGCCAAATTGTGTGTACTTTAGTGTACGTCTGTGCATATGTGTGTGTGAATGTGTGTGCATTGTACATGCCTGTGAGTGAGTGTGGACATACACTATGAGTCAAAAGTTTGGACACACCTACTCATTCCAGGGTTTTTCTTTATTTTTACTATTTTCTACATTGTAGAATAATAGTGAATACATCAAAACTATGAAATAACACATATGGAATCATGTAGTAACCAAAGAAGTGTTAAACAAATCAAAATGTATTTTATAGTTTAGATTCTTCAAATAGCCACCCTTTGCCTTGATGACAGCTTTGCACACTCTTGGCATTCTCGCAACCAGCTTCATGAGGAATGCTTTTCCAACAGTCTTGAAGGAGTTCCCACATATGCTGAGCACTTGTTGGCTGATTTTCCTTCACTCTGCGGTCCAACTCATCCAAACCATCTCAATTGGGTTGAGGTCGGGTGATTGTGGAGGCCAGGTCATCTGATTCAGCACTCCATCACTCCTTCTTGGTCAAATAGTCCTTACACAGCCTGGAGGTGTGTTTTGGGTCATTGTCCTGTTGAAAATCAAATTATTGGCCCACTAAGCGCAAAACAGATGGGATGACGTAACGCTGCAGAATGCTGTGGGAGCCATGCTGGTTAAGTGTGCATTGCATTCTAAATAAATCACTGACAGTGTCACCAGCAAAGCACCCCCCACACCATCACACCTCCTCCTCTGTGCTTCACGGTGGGAACCACACATGCGGAGATCATCCGTTCACCCACACCGCGTCTCACAAAGACACGGCGGTTGGAACCAAAAATCTCCAATTTCGACTCCAGACCAAAGGACAGATTTCCACCGGTCTAATGTCCATTGCTCGTGTTTCTTGGCCCAAGCAAGTCTCTTCTTCTTATTGGTGTCCTTTAGTAGTGGTTTATTTTCAGCAATGCGACCATGAAGGCCTGATTCACTCAATCTCCTCTGAACAGTTGATGTTGAGATGTGTCTGTTACTTGAACTCTGTGAAGCATTTGGGCTGCAATCTGAGGTGCAGTTAACTCTAATGAACTTATCCTTTGCAGCAGAGGTAACTCTGAGTCTTCCTTTCCTGCGGCAGTCCTCATGAGAGCCAGTTTCATCATAGCGCTTGATGGTTTTTGCGACTGCACTTGAAGAAGCTTTCAAAGTTCTTGACATTTTCCGGATTGACTGACTTTCATATCTTAAAGTAATGATGAACTGTCATTTCTCTTTGCTTATTTGAGCTGTTCTTGACGTAATATGGACTTGGTCTTTTACCAAATAGGGCTATCTTCTGTATACCCCCCCTATCTTGTCACAACACAACTGATTGGCTCAAACGCATTAAGAAGGAAATAAATTCCACAAATTAACTTTTAACAAGGCACACCTGTTAATTGAAATGCATTCCAGGTGACTAACTCATGAAGCTGGTTGAGAGAATGCCAAGAGTGTGCAAAGCTGTCATCAAGGCAAAGGGTGGCTACTGAAGAATCTCAAATATAAAACATATTTTGATTTGTTTAACACTTTTTTGGTTACTACATGATTCCATATGTGTTATTTCATAGTTTTGTTGTCTTCACTATTATTCTACTATGTAAAAAAAAAAAAAAAAGAATGTCCAACCTTTTGACTGGTACTGTACATACATACCTAGTTATCTGTGTGTGTGTGTTTTATAGTACATACTGTGTGTGTGTGTGTGTCCATACAGCTGTTTTGTATAGCTCAGAGCAGGATTAGAGTGGGGCGTCACGTAGGCTCATCTGGTTCTGCCTTCTCTCCTATGTGGACATTTAGGATGTTTCCCAACGCCACGCACCTCTCTTTCCCAGCACACAGATTACTGAGGTGAGCCAAGCACTCTCAGTTGATACACCACGACATGCCTTAGAGACACCAAGATAATCAACCTCCTGTCACTTTATTTTGTAGAGTAAACATAATTGTTATCATGGGTATTGTCATGATTATCTTTGTTGTCATCAACATCATCGTGTTGATCATAGATATCCGTAAGAATATTTGCACGTTTGTCATAATTCAACTTTTACCATCATTCATTTT